AACCCCTCCAACTCTTCTATCTCTCAGAATCCCACATGGATCTAGCTCAAAAGATCCAGTCTTCAGTAGCAATATGAATAAGGTTTTATATTCCTGTTTGGAACCAACTTAAATACGCAGATGTTTCTTATTTCTAGGAGCTGGGAAAATACGGTCTGCTATATTACAATGCACTGTTTATGATCCTTCCCACCTTGACCATTGCCTACTTCACCGGAGATGCGCAAAAGGTAGGATTCCTGCCCCAAAAGCAAGATCTTTAGTGGCACAATACCTTGTGGGCAAAATGGGTTGTTCAGAAGAACATTTTACTGTTTGTTATAATGCACTTTCTGTAACTTAGCCTTCTTACATAAAATGGGAAATACTCAAAACATGAAACTGCAAAGTAGTCCGTTATCCCTGGTTTGCAAATAAGTACTGCGTAGCGTCTGAGGGAAGAGGCTGGGGCAAAGGATGGTTTGAGGCCGGGTTTTGGGGTAGAGAGGGAAGCCATTTAAGTAAAAAGTAACTGTGAGCCTTACGTTGGATGCTAAGTCTGCAGAGTTGCTCCATTTAAGGGTTTTTGCAATGCCTGAGGAATGGGGAAGTGCGAGAGCAATAAGTGAAACCAAATATTATTTAAAACAAAGAAGTTGAGTATTTTTAGAGTAATTTGGCTTCTTCAAACTTCTTTCCGTCCTTCCCTCTTACTGGGGTGGTTATTTTGTTGAATTGCTCTGGAGGTCAGTGTGCCTGTGCTGCCCCAGCAGGGCAAGATCTGACTTACGTGTGGTTCCATATACTTGAAACTTGTATTGTAATAGTATTATTTATTATTATTACAGTCACTTATGTGCAGCTATACTCAGCTCTCCTGAGCAAGAGCACTCACTTTTCATGCCTACATGGAGAGGCATCCCTCTCCATAGGCAGGGAAGGGAAATGCTGAAGGCTGGAGGTGCTGCCCACCCAGACCCCCATGGGTGACTGCTGTGGGTGCCGGTGGACCCTGCAGACACCCTTGTCGTGTCCGTCCGTCCGTG